TTGGTGTACACAGTTTATGGTTGGTGTACACAGTTTATGGGGTAAAACACAATATACTAATAAATGGTAAAAAATGCAGGAGACATGTTGAATTAAATTGCATAAACATGTATTATGTAGAAAGCAACGCAGTTAGCTTGGTCGTCCCTCAACGCCTTTACAGTCTCACCAAACAGAAGAGGACGGTCAGTTCACCGAGCTCAAACACACATATTACCCGGCCGGGGCTTGATTAAACACAGCGTGCAAAATGAATGTCAAATGGAAAATCAGCCACATGTAACATCACAAACAGTTTATATATACACCAGCCCGTGCATCATATTATGCAACCAGGTGTTGCACCAATCTATCCTAATCTGCATATCAGTAGCCTTTAGTACAGAGTTGCAGTTCAATCAGATGCATCTATTTGCGTTTGCTCGTACCATCCAATCGTTCACCCAATCGTGGGTACCACCCAATAAAATAACAACAAAAATTGGTCAGCTTCCCCAAATACAGAAATGTTTTGACTAAATTACGGTTAAAGGGCGGTGGTCATCGCGCCACTCATGCGCGAGATATGGGTCTCATATGAACAAAGATGGCGACTTTGACTTTTGCGCAGACCAACGACTACCAACTGAGACGTTACTAAGATTTAACTATGTAATTTCTTTGGTGATTGGAAGATATCGAAGGAGTCGTCGGCGGTAATTGCACGCTACGCCCTGGTCAAAACACGTACTCGTGATTTCCATTAGTAGAGCGCATTGGATTGTGGGAAAATCATTGCCTATCAACACAAATGTCGCACATGCGAGGCGCGACGACCACCGCCCTTCAATATCCGCCAGTGTCTTCTCATTCATGAACTTTTTGTCCAAGTAAAGTTGAAATAAAGTTGAAAATGAGCTCACTTTGAATGTGAAACATAGATACCTAAGAGAACAACTTTCTAAAGCATTATGGCAAGAATACATTATGTAGTCAAATAATCTTCACTTTATTTTAGGTCCTCCACCAAATGTATCATTTTTATTGCCTACTTTTTATACCGCATGTACAAGCGAAGGTGAACTTCATCCCAAACCTCCCATGAAGGATAGATGTAATTGTAATTCGAGAGAGAAACAATCTCTCCACGGAGATTAGTCGATTGAAAAAATAGTCGATAGAAAAAAATATATTTATGTAAAAAAATCCAATACAAACTTGAAGGAGAATTATAACACGGTTAGGCTGAATCTGGACATCTGATTGGCTGTTTTATATCTGACACTAGAAGATCCGTGACCTGCCCGAAACTGAATTAACTGGCTCAAATATCCAACTGAATCAAGATCGCACATCTGTGAAAACTGTTCATGGTGGTTGTGACTTGTGAGTGTAAGATCAACTTACTCTTCTTTTTTATCTTCCGCTACCAAATACCCTCGCTTGCCGTTTATACCTTCTAAAAAAATGATTTCTCAGAAGAATATAATACATCCATGTAGTTCTAATAAAAAAATGGCGTTGTTACTAATGTTCGAGAAACTTATTTACTTACAGTGATTTTGAATCTCCGTTGAATTTCACTCTCGGAAACAAAGTGATTTCCTTCTGTTGTCGTAAAGGGCGCTATAAAACAACCTGTGGCCTGACAGGGCTCATACCACTAATTGAATTTCCATAGACGACAATGTTAACATATGACGAGATTGCTATATGAAAATGACGAAGAAAGTTGAAAATATGGCTCAAAAATGGGAAATCAACATGCCAGTAATCAACCATATGAAAAAAACTAACATGTTGGCCAGCTCAAACTCTTGCAAATCTCAGGTAAACAAGACACACCTACTGTATTTGGATTGCACCAAGAGAAATCACTGGAAAAACACCAAGATTAGAACATCCATTAACACACAGAATAAACCCACAGGTACACAGCCGCTAAGTAGTAAGCAAAAGACCACATGTTGGTCTCACCTCTGACCCAGGTGATTACGCCCTCAAACAGGGAGCACCTGAGAAAAATAATGCAGCCATTGGTTAATTAGTGGCATGAGACCTGACATAGGTCAGCAAACATGGTTGTGCTTGTGAATGGCGTCTGGAGATTGTGGTGAAAGCAACATTTGGATTGCAATTTCCGCGGAACGTCAAACCTGACCTTAGACATTAACTTCTGTTTTATCTCTTTTAGCCGGAACGATCAACTAAGTCTCTTAACCATGTCTTCTTTTTCGAACAAATTCCACGGGAAGGTAGCTGTTGTTACTGCATCTACAGAAGGGTAAGCTGCCGGTGGTGGCGCTGATGAGTACGTGAGCTGACACTGGGTTGTAGTTACAGTAGTAATTGTTAACAACTTATGTCCGTCTGGACCTGTATCTCAGACACGTCTCGGGCAATTGCATTTAAACTTCACACACACATAATGTATTTTGGTATACATGATATACACGTCCATTCTTCTCTGGTCCGATTCAATGATCACCGAATGGTGGCCATTTTTTATGCTAAAATGCATCAAAATATACCATTTCTGCTAATCCGAAACCAGATCTTAGTCATATAGATGGGTTTCATATATATTTTATATATTTTTATATATGCCGTTATGCCTTTGTAAAACACATTGTAGTAATTTGAAAATTTAGAGAAATTTATAACACATTTATGAAACATTTAATTAGTTTTCAATGGCCTAGTGTATTTTCTTCAGTAGAGTTTGTGTCAGTCAAAACATGAAGCAAATGATATGATATAAAATGTAGTTGTAAAGTTTGATTGAGTCAGTCAATGTATGTCAGAGACATGCATAATTCTAATACAGCATTTGCATTCAGCCATTTTGAATCTGTTCTGAACATGATTGGTCAACGCATGTCAGAGATAAGGCTTGGAACAGCATAAAAAAATGACCACCAAACCATTATTACATATGAGGTGAAAAAGAAATCAACATTGAACATCAAGGTACCATAATTTCCAATGTATGTACCAAGCATGAATTCCATCCACACACACCCAAGAAATGCTTGATTTTGATAAATTTATTTTAAAATTTTTATTTTTTCTATCTTGAATCTTATGTTCGAACAAATATGCATGCATGTGTGGGGGAAAATGTATGATGTAAGTTTGAATCCGATCACTGAATTCATGTCAAAGATACAGCTCTGGTACCACATTCTTAAAAAAAAAATAGCCAGCAGTCTGCCATTTTGAATCTGATCTGAAAAATGATGTGCATCAAGTTTGAATGAAATGTATCCAAAAAATACACTTTTTTGGGTTATGGAAACCATTTGGTAAATTTCCTCCATTCATTGGCCAATTAACATCTGTGGACAGGGGTATAAGCCATTCAATTTTGAGGCAGGGATAAAAGGTACTTTTGTAGTGTGTGTGTCAAAATTGCAAAGTAAACAGAACATGAACTATAGAAATGAATATAAGTAAAAGTAAAACACTGCAAACTCGATAAAAAAACGAGCAACATACATACCAATACATACAAAGTAGAAATGTACGTTAAAGGTACGTACAAATGACAACTGAACTAGCATAGAGGAATTTCGCAAGGAATTTTTTGTTTATGAATGACTGATTTTCTCAATAAGTTTAATTTTTTGACAGCCCCATAAATGCTTTGTGAATGCTGTTTCTTTTCAACCATTTTAATTTCACAAAGAAATACATGTTTTTTTTCATTTCCATGTATAGTATATACTGTACCATGTAAAAAATACTAGATATTTCACCACAGGATCACATTTTATTTGCTCAGGATTGGTTTTGCCATTGCCAAGCGATTGGCAGAAGATGGTGCCAGTGTTATGATAAGTAGTCGTAAGCAGGAAAATGTTGACACAGCATTGGCTAAGTTGAAATCTGAAAATCTGACAAAAGTTGCTGGAGTTGTTTGTCATGTCGGTAAAGAAGATCATAGAAACAAAATGATACAGGAGGTGGGTTGAATTTGTTTTATTCCAAAATTGGAAGTTGGTTGGTAGTTGATAGTTGGTTTAGTAACTTAGTAGCTATGTAAATTAAGTCAAACATCACATTCAGTGGTCAATATGAACTATTTATAATAGTTCAAAATGGCCGACTGGTGGCCATTTTGTTTTTTTCATTTGATATCTGATGTTAAAAATAATGGTGGTGTGCATTTTTCAATGCATTTTGTTCTAAATTCAACTATTTTCTCATACAATGACTTTTTATAAAGACCACATATGCTGGGTTTCTTATGGATTAAATTAACTCTAGGCCAAACCAATTATCGTATATGAGCTACTATATGGAAACGCATTTGTTATAGCAGCCCACATAATCCTGAAAAAATGTCAGTCATTGTCTACTGGGTCATTAAACTATGATATTATAGACATTTATGTTTAAAACTCACCTAGTACTTCTCGACCAATTAGAATGTTTCCTGTTTCTGAATCTTGACTTTCAATTAAAATTTTAGGACTTTTGTTTTTATAAATTGTCTGAGACGTTTATATAAGATGTTTCCAATTAGATAATGAACATTCATAAGTCAATCATTATAGCTCACTTGTAACAACAGTATTACTACAAATTCAAAGGTCAACACCTTACATAATAGACATTCTTAGGACTTAGTATATTCTATTCTGTTTCCATTATATATTTTGTGCAGAATAGTTCGAGGGAGTCACTAAATGCCAAAATTATGAGAATTCCTCCCTAAATATACGACATCAATGGTTTAGAGTTGGTGGGTTTTAAGTCAGATAAAACCCTTGTGCTTGATTTTGTACTGGCCTCAACATTTTATCTTGAGTCTGACTTAATCCATGAAGAGTTTTCATACGAGGGCTTCATTCTGTAGTAGTGCATGTGATGATAATAGAACAAATACAGTTAATGTTTTTGTCTTTGTGTGAATATCAATTAACTAAAAATGCTCTATACAACTTGTTAGACACTGAGAAGGTTTGGAGGGATTGATATTCTGGTGTCAAATGCTGCATGCAGTCCCATGTTTGGACCAGTTTTAGAAGTGAGTATTTCAAGAACAATTACCACAGTAATTACTTTCTCATAACCCTCTACAAATAACTTTGTTAGAAACAGTTATCAAAACACCAGATTTTCAAATACAATGATTGGTTGGTTGAACGTAGCACCACCTAGCTCCTGAAACCTGATTGGATCCACAGCCAACTATCTAACACAATTGAAGCAATAGAATAATCAAAAGTTATTCAGTATTTATATGTAATTTCACCATCGTAAGGGACAGAATGAACAAGACTTACTTGCTCTAATTGTTTTAATATTTTTTAGCGTCACTCAAGCATTTCTGTGACCACCCACCTTATCACTGCTCAACAATGGTCATTTTGAATATGTGTGATTACACATGATTTACAAACAGTATAGCATTCATGAAAACTGAGATCAAAATTTCCTAAAATCATGAATTATGAAATCGTGTAAAGTATACCAACAATTCCCAAACTGTAATTTTTGTAATAATCACAATTCAAGATGTAATATGCCTACATACAGGAAATGTAATATGTAACTTTTTCTTATAAATCACGTACAAACACATGAATGTTTATAATGACTCACACTTATTTTAATAACATCAATTACATTCTGTTCTGAGAGGAAGAGAAAGGAGGGGGGTTACAACCCTACATTGTAAAGTTATAATTTTAGACTGTTTTGTTACATGGACATTTTGTATGTTTTCTGTCACATCAA